GGCAATGCATCTCCTGCACGCACTGCAGCAGTGAGGGCCACAACCTGCACTGTTCAACATCTTCATCAGTGACTTGGATGAGGGGATAAAAAGCATCCTGCTCAAATTTGCTGATGACACTAAGATGTGGGGGGATGTGAGGCAGGGAGTGGGAGTGGGTAGGAATAGGAGGAAAGACTGGTTGGGAGGTGGGGTGCTGTTGGAATTTGTTGCTTTCTGTAACAGAAGCATTAAGTATGGATTGGGATGTGGTTAGGCTAGGTTGGGTATGGGAAGATGCTCTTCTTGGTCAGAGGCAGGGAAGTGAAAGGGCGTGAATTGTTTTTGAATTTGAGAGTTTAGGGGAGAGTTCATCTTCTTTTACCTTCTTATTTTAACATTTTAATATCTGTTTTTATCATATTTTGTCTTTTATTGTAAACTGCCTTCAGCCTTTTCTGGGAAGGGCAGCATAGAAATCAAATTAGTAAAATCAATAATAAAGTGAATTCTTATGGTGTGAAATTCTGGACTTTCAATATGTCAGAAAGAGAACAGATTTGCTGTTTTAAAATATATCCATGGTTTTATTTTGAAAGTGTTCTCCCTTTAATATTTTGCAAACCTGCTAATCTTACTTCTGCACAGGGATAGGCAGGTTATCATCAAATGCCCCATTTAGAAAATACTATTTTCAGTTTAGTTTTTAGATTATATCCTTAAAGTTATGTATAGCACAATTGAAAGATTGGTCCTTATGAATTAGCAATATGGGTATTTATTTTTATGAAATATAATTATCTAGGAGATATGAAAGTAAAAATAACCCTTCAGGACTTTCTTTAGGATATTTCCAATTGCATATTTTCTTGTAATTTCAGGGGGAATTTAGATTTCACTGAAAGCTCTGGCTCTATCCCTACTACTTCTATGCTAGGTTCTTTGATGGTCATAGTGAAAAAAGAGCAAATCTAGGGTCAACAATGAGTAAAGATTTTTTTAAAATTTTCTTTGAGTGAGTGCTTTTATATGCTTTCTGTGCTAGGTACACATGCACCACATGGCTTTAAGAATGGACAGACATCCTAACAATACTCATGCCATGTCTTGTTCAACAAGCCTGTTAGTCTGAGATGGGGTGCTTCAGTGTCCACTCTCTATTAGAAACTTTTAAATGGTTTAGTTAATATATATAATCAATAATGTGATAGGTAACTTGGGAGTAGGAAATTATGATTTAACTCTAATTTTAGTTAGCGAGGGTGGTACAAGGTGAGGGGATATTGCCAGTATTTAGACCCATGTCCCTATAAGTTCCCTTATCTCACCAGGAAGTCTAATATCTCCTATGGGAATGCCTGTGCCCAACTGTTTTCCTCAAACAACTACATTTTCCTAATGTTGTCATCTTTCCTAGGGCCTGACTAGCTCAGTTGGCAGAGCATGAAATTCTTACTAATTTCAGGGTCGCGGGGCATGTGTTTCTTCTGTTCCTTGTCTCTGCTTCAGGGGCTTGACCTGATGATCTCTTCCAGCCCCTACCAACAACTATGCTCCTCTCTGCTTTGAACGTCATCAACAGCATAATCCTCTTGAATGCTACATACCTTCTCCTCCCTCTGAAATCATCTGGGTTCGGTTTACACAGGCCCTGGATTATTCCCTATCCTAACAGAGTCTAAGAATGGTTAATTGGAGCCAGCTGCTCAACTTCTCCTCCTGTACTCTGTCCCAGTGCTGTAGTAAGGGGGGTGACTGCCTAGGTGCCAAAGCAAAGGGGTGACAACAGGCGCTGCCCAGCTGGGGTGGGGCATGGGATGGAGTTGCAAGCAGCTTATTTGGTGGGGTGGGGGTGGGTGGGTCCTACTGCTGCATGCACTGGACAAGTGGTGGGGAGTGCCCCTCAGATCTGTGTGAGGGTGGGTTGCTGCTGCAGGCTTTGCCCTGGGTGCCAAACTTCATTGCTGTGGCATTACCCTGTCCCACTACATTTCACATAATTCAGTGTCATGCACTTCAAGAATTTAAATTTGGGAGCTTCCAAAACCAGTTAACTAGTTAGATTAAGTTCTGGGATCAGAATTTATTCAGCACATTCCACAATAGCATCCTGGTCAGAGAGAGGAAATCTTCAAAGCTGTCACCTCTTCATTGACCAGTACTTCAAGCACTGCAAACTTAAGCACCTTTCCATTTGTAGCAACATCCTTTGGCAGGAAGATGCTAAACTGTTATTACAAAATGGATCAATATAACTAATTTTAGGAAAGGGTAACAATTGTATTTCTGATTTCTTATTAATCTGTCTAGGAAGGGTTTTATATTGTGTACTTCATTGTCATTTCTAAATGCTTTCCAAATAAAGTAGAGTTGAAGGCTAATGTCAATTGTAACAGAGTCAGTGGATTCTTCTATGGAAAAGTCAGTCACAGAAAGGAAATTTTCATTTAATAAATTTTCCATTTTTCTTAATGAATGTACAATATAGGAAAATATGCATATATAAAACTGATTAAACATATTCAAACTTATCTAGCCAATTGAAGAATGCAGTTTTTAAGCTAGGTGAACGTAGAAGACATTTAAAACCACAGAGAAAAGAGAGAAGAAAAGTTCCTGCACAGGTTGTCTCAGATGGAGATGTTAAGCTTCTTGTTAGAATATTGAGTGCTTACAACATTCCTTCAAGAAATCCAGCAGTTACTAGGTAAGAGACCTACAACAGAAAATCAGGAATGGTAAAGACTAAGGTAACTTAGTTACATTATTCATGAGAGTCCAGGATTGTACTCATATGAATTTTGTACGCATATTCTGAGGTGTTGTCTGAAGTGAAGGGTACACCTAGAACACCACGAGGGATATCATGGTGGGCGTCTTCTACAGGCCACCAAATCAGGAGAAGGAGGTGGACAAGGCCTTCTTTAGCCAACTGACAAAAGCTTCCAAATCCCAGGACTTGGTTCTTAATGGGGAATTTTGCTGGGAGGGGGAAAAAAAGTGCACAAGCAGTTCAGCAAATAATTAGAGTGTACTGGGAATAACTTTTTGACAAAGATGGTAGAGAGGCCAACTAAGGGGAAGCTCTTTCTACTGCTCACAAACAAGGAGGAATTGGTTGAAAATGTGAAGGTGGAAGGTAACTTGTGTGACAGTGACAATGAAATTATAGTTCAGGATCTTAAGAGGAGGAAGGAAGGAGAGTAGCAGAATAAGAACATAAAACACAATAAAAAGGGATTCTACAGGTATGTCAAAAACAAGAGGAAGACCAGAGAAATCATAGGTTTCTTAGACTGTGGGAGGCAATCCAGTTATGGATGATGCAAAGAAAGCTATAATATTACTGACTTTTTTTACTTCAGTCTTCAGAAATAATGGCAGTTACTAGATGACAACTCTAGTTGGTAGCAAAGAGAAGGAAGGAGACAAACAGCCTAGAGTAGTAGAAGAACAGATTAGGGATTACTTAGAGAAGCTAGATACTTTCAAGTCAGCACAGCCAGATGGGATGCATCCTTGGGTACTGAAGAAATTGACTGAGCTAATTTCAGAGCCATTGGCTCTGCTCTTTGATAAATTTTGTAGGTTGGGTGAAGTCCCAGGTGAAAATAAAAAGTGCCCATCTTTTATAAAGGGAAGAAAGAAGATCCAGGGAATCACAGACCAGTCAGCCTGACCTCTATACTTGGAAAGCTAATGGAGCAGGTTCTCAGGGAATCTATTTTGAAGTACTCAGAGAAGAACAAGGTGCTCAGGAACAGCCAGCATGGATCCACCAAGATCCAAGTTATGCCTGACAAACTGATTTCCTTATAAACTTTAGATGAAGGGAGAGTGGTAGACATCATATACCTTGATTTAACAAGGATTTTGACACTTTTTTCCCCATGACAGTGTCATTAATAAGCTAAAGAAAGACAGGCTAGACAGAAGTACTGTAAGGTGGATACATAACTGGTACTCAACAAGTAGTCATTGATGGCTCAATGTCTAGTTGGGAAGAGGTATCAAGTGGGATTCCCCAGGGGTCTGTCCTGGGTCAGGTATTGTTTAATATTTTTATTAATGATTTGGACAATGGGACTGAGTGCATACTTAGCAAATCTGCAGGCAACACCGAATTGGGTGGAGCTGCAGACAGTCTGGAGGCCTAGGATCCAAAATGACCTGGATAAACTGGAAAAAATGGTTTGCAGTTAATCAGATGAGATTGAACAAAGACAAATGCAAAGTCCTACTTTCCATGTTGGAAAGAGGGGTGGAGGTGTAGCTCTACATTAAGAAGCAGTACACTTCCCTTCAAACTGAGTTCAGTAACCAAGGGGCGTTTCCAGGCAAGCGTGCACATGCTTCCTGCCCTGTCTCAAACTCCTTTGAGATGGGGCAAGTGACACATGCATGAATAAAAAAAATGTTCCCCATGCTAAAAGTTTGATATCCAGGGGTCAAACAGGAACCCAGGGGAAATAAATGGGTCAGGCTGAAGCAACCAGAGGCTCAGTCCTCCAGAGATGCTCTGGCAGAGTTCCAGAGCGTCTCTGTGATTGGCCCTTTCCCTGGTCCTGAAGCATGCTGCAAGGACCTGGACCTGGCTTTTGCCAGATAAACAGGGGGTTGGGGGGCTGGAGGAGGGGGGAGGGGACCATCCCCAACTCCCCCCCACCCCCATCCCTTCTCCCCACCCTCT